TATGAGTAGTGAGTACTTGTCACCAACCACAATGGGTGGACAAGTAGGCATATATAAGAAGTCACCAACTCAAAGTCAAGCATGCCATATACGTGGCAATAAATTTGTCATGTCTAGGCATCCAGGTCTTCAACATGAGAAGAGTAGACGTGTGTTCAGTTGGTGGCATCCAAGACAAAGAAAAAGTCATGGTGATCTTGACATGTCAAGTAAGGCGGCCAAGGAAAATGAGCATGAGATTCCATGCAAGGCCACCAAGACAATACACGACCATGTACCATCTAGTGGTAAGATGAAAAATTCAAAACCGATGTATGGAGAGTCATCTCCCATGGAGGAAAAGAGTCATGTGGTCTATGGATGGCATGTCTGGTTTGATCCGTGGACTTGGCAATGGGTGTACACCTTTAGTACATTGATTATTGCCAAAGGATATGGAGAGCAGCGTCGTCTGTCACTTCTTGCCATATAAAATAAATAAATATACATAAGGTAGTTATTATATATTATTTATCTAAAAAAAATTGTAGACAACCATGGCTAAAACAAAAAAAATAGAGAGAATATGAAAGTGAAATTCTTGAGTCGAAGTTGTTAGACTTCGATATGAAAATCTTGCCACCAAGTCGTTCTGATGGCTTGACATGCCGAGTCATACATCAGGCCATGCCAGGCCATGTTGTCTTCTCCCGAGTAGCCACGACCTGGGTGGGCATAATGGCTTGAAACGTGGTAGTAGAGGAGTGGTGATCATAATGTCTCTAGCAAGATAAAATTAGCATGATTTTTCTAAGGCAAAAGGTAGATGGCTTGACTTGTCGCGAGGGAGCTGTCTAGCCTTGTGACGAGGTGAGATGAGATGTCAATGAGGGCGTAGGTGATAAAGTGAGCTTGGTGTCTCGTTGAAGGCATTGGGTGGTTTGACCATTAAAAGCCAAAATTTGGCTAATGCATGGAATAAGTCTTTGACGTCAAGTTCCATCCGTCCATGTTGGCTTGATTATTGAGAGCCAAAATTTGGCTAAGACATGAGACAAGCCTTGATGTCAAGTTCCATCTCGCCATGTTGCATTGACGTGAAAAATCAAATTTGGCTAAGGCATGAAACAAGTTTTGACGACATGTTCTATCCGGCCATGTTGGCTTAACGCGATAGCGATGACTTGACGTGGTAGCCAAAATTTGGCTAAGGCATGAGACAAGTCTTTGACGTCGAGTTCCATCCAGCCATGTTGGCTTGATCAATGATGTCGAATTTGGCTAAGGAAAACAAATCCGACTATATGGTAAAGCCATCTCAGTACTTTGGCTAGCATAGTTGGGGGGCATGTTTTTACACCCCAAAAATAATCTTGTACCACATTGATTATTTACAAGGCATTAATTGTCTTTATAAGGCCATATCAATAATAACAATTAATGTTATTTAAGCTGGGCCTTATGTACAAGATTTTTAAGCGCAAACCACAAAGTCTCTAGAAAGGAACTAATCTCGTCGTTCCGAGTTGGGTAGCCCAACGTGGTCGCGAGATCTAGACCACGTTGGCGTCAAGTCTAGTAGAGACCAACGTGGTCGCGAGATCTAGACCACGTTGGCATCAAGCCTAGTTGATCAACGTGGTCGCGAGATCTAGACCACGTTGGCGTCAAGCCTAGTAGATCGACGTGGTCGCGAGATCTAAACGACGTTGGTGTCAAGTCCACTAGGCCGACGTGGTCGCCAGATCTAGACCACGTTGGCGTCAAGTCCGCTAGACCGACGTGGTCGCGAGATCTAGACCACGTTGGCGTCAACTTCGCTAGACCGACATGGTCACGAGATCTAGACCGCGTTGCGGTCAAGTTCGATAGACCAAGGTAGTATAACAAGTTCGAGGTAAGAAAGCAAGCCACATGGGAGAGGAAAGCCACAAAGACGTCAGTTCCAAGAGAGAGAGCAGGCGGTTAACAGAGCAATTGTTGATTATCCCACGTGCAAGGACACGTCAGCCACGTCCGAGGGAGAAATGGAGCAGTTCTTTTTGGAAGTTACTCTCCAGGCGATTTTTCTACGACGGTTACCACTTCAAAACTATAAATAAGAGGAGTTGACAGAGAAAGAGGCCGCCCAATTTACACCAGACAACTCAATGTCAACTTTTATCTTTTTATCTTTCCTCTGCAACTTTTAGTTGTAGTCGTAGATCTGAAGCTCTCACTGAACCTCCATATGAGTAGGGTAATTTAATGTAGAAATATGTCTCGTGAGTCGTGTAAACATCAAACACCCTCGTTCGAACTTTGTTTGAAGAGGAGTGAACCGTGTTAAGTTGATTGTTGTCCAAAGAAGTCAAGGTGCAATCAATTCGATTTCAACGCAAGTTTTCTCGCCGGGAAACACACGACTAAGGATTCATTGCTGGAAATAAGAAGTTATGTTTTTTCTACGGGGTAGATGGCAATGAAGATAATGTTCGACAATAAGCGGAGGGAGAGGGAATGTGACAAAAAGCAACTGGAGAGAGTAAATGTTGCTACTGAGGGAAAACTGACGGTTGTACGGACTAGGGAGGGGCTCAAGTTAGGGTGCATAACCCATGCACCCATCAATAACTAAATCTGGACCCTTCATTTAGAAAATTCAGATCTAAGGATGGAGAATTAAAGGTCATTTTTATTTTCACTAGTTTTCTTAATTGACTCATATCTTTTTCGTTTTAACTCGGATTTTAATTTTTTTTTTTTTTTGCACAAATGGAACGATTTCATCGTGCTCTACAAAATGAGATCAATTTTCAATATTTTTTGAGAAAAAAAAAAAATTATGGCCTCTCGGTACCAACTGCATACCATATGGTATCTTCTTCGTTTTTAATTCGTTTTTGAAAACGTTTGCACAGCAGGGACGAGTTCATCATGATCTATTGGATCTACAAATTTCTGGGTGAACAAATTACAAGACAAAAAAAAATACCACACAATACCATACAATACCACCCTGGTCCAGGGTGGTATCTTATGGTATCTTATGGTATACAATGTTAAAAGTCGTAAATGACAATTAATATACTTCTACTATCATGTATTCAACCATCCTACCATTTTGGTTTGTGTCATACCACCATGGTACGCTTTTCAAACCATAGGTATGCTCTTATTTTAATACCAGTCAATACCATATGGTATAGACTGGTATAAAATGGCTCTATTCTTTTTTGTTCGAAAAATATATCAAAGTGGATATCATTTTGAAGAGGACAATTAATCTGATCTAACTGTGCAAAAAAAAATTAAATTTCGACTTAAAACGAGTGAGAAATCGTCCGTCAAAGATTAAGGAGGGGAAAATTAAAGGCTTTTCAGGAGAGAGAGGATGCTGATGTCATGCTGATGTGCTCGAAGTCTGCCAGAAAAACAGCCTTCGTAGCAACTTCGACCCTTTTGTTTGAAGCCTTACAGATATCCAATCTTTCATCCAATGCCTTAAATTTGTATAAAACCATACCTAATTTAACGTGGTAGAGGCTCCTGGACTCGACTCGCATTCATGCTTCTCGAATTGAGCTCCAAAATAGGCTTCCCAAACACGTTTCCAGACTTAGCCATTTCCAGACAGTTTCCCAGTTTTGGCATAGCCTTTTGATGAGGTTCAAAAATGGTCTTTTGGACTTCCTATCGAGTTCTCAATCACTTCAATATGTAGAGGGACACTCCAGCTTCAAAACAAGTCATTAGTCTTCAATTTCCATCTAGCCAATTGTATGATATGAATATCCAAAGTAGGCACCATGAACTGTTTTTACACTGAAACAACAGATTAGGTCATGCTGATTCTATATGAGGTCGACCGAATCCTAAATGAGGTCGACCGGATCCTATATGAGGTCGACCGAATTCTAAATGAGGTGACCTAATCCTAACTGAGGTCGACCGGAAAGTGCAAGTCACCGTGACATGCATGTCACCGTAGGCACATCCTATATCTAATATATATTATATACACTTAATTAATACTTGGCATAACCACTCAAGAGCCAGACATTCTTTCCTTTTAGGCTCATCAACTATAAAGTTTAATATTGTTCATATACTATATATTTGTATTTATAGAGTGTAAACCATGATATATGAATGCCTAATTTAAATAAAACTCATACAATATATTAGATGAAAACTTGAAAGGAATGTCTTTTTCAACCTATTATAATTGCTAAGAGACTAATTCGATTATCACAATCACAACAATTAATTAACTCTATACTATTGACATATATTTTCACATATACATTGTAATGTTTTATTCATCATAATAATTGTGAATTCATGTATTAACCGAAAATTTTCTCGCTTAATGATAATATGATGTTAACATGGTTAACCAATTAACCAAATCGATTAAACTTTAGTTTGGTTAATTTGATTGTTGTACGAGTTTGGACGGTTTGGTTATGATATTGTATCTCATGGTTAATAAAATTTTGGTTTGGTGACCATTTTGAACACCCCTACGTAATATTAACATGGTTTTAACTTTGGATTAATTGCATGGTTGATCACTGAGATTACAAAAAAAACGTTCAAGTTTGGTCACTCGAAATATTTAAATCCATTGGTGGGACTTCACTTTACGAAAACCGTTCACGTTTGGTCACTCTCCATTAACTGTCGTCTATCGTCGTTAACAGAGTCCATTAAGTGATGACGTGGCGGACGAAATTGCCTAATCAGCACTATTTAACCCAAAAATAGTATGACCCGACCGGCCACGTCATTGAGACCTGTTATGTCATTTAAACCTACCCAACCCTCTAACCAAACCAGACCCAACCCGACCCACCAACTAAACTACCCGCTAAGATTAAAACCCTAATTTCTAAAACAAATCAACACCGTCCCCTTCTCCATACAGCGACGGTAGTGCGAGGACAGGAGATTGCGGACCGTGCGTCGGGCTACCAGAGACAGCCAGAGCGAGGTCGGCGCATCCCAAGACAACACATCCATTGAAAGAGTTGGAGGGATCAACGACGCGGTCCTGCCGAGAGGGCGGTAGACAGGGATGTAGAAGCGGCGGCGTTACCGGAATCGCTAAGCTCGAATCCGGAGGGGCTGCTCGAGTTCAAGTACAGACCCGAGAAATCGGTGGTCTCGGCGTCGAGGCTGGCCGATCTCTTGAGCGGCTGCTGCTCGTCGGGGGAGCTCAAATCGTCGGTCGATTTCCTCTTGAGGGTGGAGTTCTGGTGGTTCTTGATCGCGTTATCGGTGCGGCCGTTAAGGAGGCGGGCGATTTTGGCCCACTTGTTGTCGAACCGCGAGTGGGCCTTGATCATGGTGTCGTCTTCCTCGACGCTGAACGACCGGTGGTCGACCTCCGGAGAGAGCTGGTTGCACCAACGCAGACGGCACGATTTTCTGGACCGTCCGGGGATCGACTTGCTGATGAGTGACCAGTTCCTCGGCCCGTAGCTCTGGACCAGCCGCTGGATGGAGAAGGGGAGGGTGATGATTTGTTTTAGAAATTAGGGTTTTAATCTTAGTGGGTAGTTTAGTTGGTTGGTCGGGTCTGGTTTGGTTAGAGGGTTGGGTACTTGGGTAGGTTTAGATAACATGGTGGGTCTCAATGACGAGGTTGGTCGGGTCAGACTTCAGGAAAAATGGTGATGATTAGGCGATTCCGTCCGCCAAGTCATCACTTAACGGACTTTGTTAATGGTGATGGACGGCAGCTAATGGAGAGTGAATGGTTTTCGTAAAGTGAAGTACCATCAATGATTTAAATATTTCGAGTGACCAAACATGAACGTTTGTTTGTAACCTCAGTTACCAACCATGCAATTAACACTTTTTAACTTTTAAGTGCTTTCACGTTAGTTTCATTTTTTTCCTGTCATGTTACACACAAGAACACATAAATACAATATAAAACCATGATTTTAAGCGCTTTTGTGTACTTCCACCACATCTACATTCAACTTTGTGCTAAACGTAAAATTATAAATTCTAATGACTACCTAATATTTAGGTTATGATTAAGGCCAACGTGGCCTCAATAACGCCTCCGACCATTCACTCCTGCCAACATCTGTTTACGCCAGACAACTGTGACTTCTCGAATATGGGAAATATTAACCTACCCCAAATTCCTTTCACGAAAGTCGCCATCTCAGGCGAAATGTTTGTTATATTCTGTTACAAGCCCTACACACTAAACCCTGAGTGATGTACAAATGGTGGTGAACCCAGGGTCTTCTGTAGCAAATTAACAACATGCTCTGAACTCCCAATTCGAGTCCAGGAAAAAAGTTAGCTTTTCAACCTATAGACCAGAGCTAGGCCCTGACACAGACCTAAGAATTTGATTAAGATTATTGTTAGGCTGCGTATTACCAGAAGAAGCATTGAACATGACATTGGCCTGCCCGCTTGAAGACGATGGTTGTATAGCTGATAAGGGTAGCCTAGGCCCCATGGAGAACATTGACGGACCTCGTTGCATGAAGGGCATTTGCGGATGGACAACTTGCTGCTGCTGACTGTTGTTGCCATACCCAGAAACACTCGGCTGAGAAGCAGTGGGCATCATCTGTGGTCTGTTGTTGTTGACCATATTATTGGCTGGCATGGAGGAAGGCTCAACGCCTGCTCGATTTATATGAGACGCGGGCAGCATGGACCCCACGTCAGTCGACTTCATTCGAGCTCGCTCTGTAGAGAACCTCTGCCTCATCTTCTCCACTTGGTCGCATTCTCTCATTAGAAGAGTTTCTACCTCTGCAAACTGCTTCAGCTTAAGCTCTAACCTCTTCAACTGCGATCACCACATTAACCACCTCTCAAGTCAATCAATGATTTACAGCACTCAAACAGATCCACAAGCAATACCCCAGTGTTTCACTCTATCTGGGTTCTGACGTTAGTCTGGCTTCAATCTTGAAAGATGACCACAAGCTTATCCAATGAAAGGAATGAACTCAGAATCAATTATTTCTATTTCACCTCTTCCTTAAATTATACTAAAACTGTTTTACCTTCCAGGCTATACTTTATCTAGGCAAAACCTACCTAGCAAATGACAAGCTCAATGCCGCTACTCTCAATCCCATGTCCAGGGCCATCTATGGGGCCACAATTACATTACAAGTGAAAAACAAAATAGTTCCGACATGGGTACAAGGTAGAAAAACAACTATATACTTTAATTAACAAAAAAAATCATGGCACCTAAACAATAACATAAAAAGGCAATCATGGAAAGGTTCTAAACTGACCGTGATATAAGATCGCTAGTCAAACAGTCATGAATCATCAGAAAAGTTAGCATGTTAAGCAGCTCAAATGACATCAGAAACGGAAAAATAAATTTTCACTGGGTTTACCTGATGATTAATGATTATGGCAGAAAGCCTCTGAATTTCACGTTCTTCATGATCTGCAAAGAGCTTAGCCTTGGTTGCAGCAGCAGCAAGACCAGCTCTGGCTGCAGCTTTAACCTTCTCGACAGATAATGTAGCAGTCTCGGTTTCATTTTGATGCACTGAATCCATAATTTCTCCATGATTATTGTCTTGTCTACCTCGCACTCGGTCAGCATTCATCCTTCATTTCCAGAGGGAAACTATTAGCTCAACTATTCATGAAGAAACCCAAAATTATTGATTCTAAAGATCGCCCCACAAGAAATGCATTCTCAACTTTGCCCCTTTGAAATAAGACTATTCGAAAGTTACACACATAATAATCATTTCCCAAAATGTACTCATTTTTTAACAATTAACAAATTAGTTATCATCTTACCTCATCAATTACATTTTTATATACCAAAGAATAACTCGTATCCCATTAACTCAACTTTTTCTAGTCCCTATCAAACACACTTTTTCTTCACTTCTAGTAAACTTTAAAAGAAGTTGCTTTTTTAGCAGAAGCTAAACCAACAACACCAAAAAAGTTTAATAGTCGAAATTTTATATACCCCCTTAAAAATAGCCCTCACTTCAGTCACGAATGAACAATAATTAGGCACGCCAGCTCAACAAAGTTACTGAATGAATGGCTGAGAGTTCAGTTGTACAAAAAAAATTACATAATAGAGTAGACTGATAATGAGAGGGGAATGAACTCACCTACTATCCTCGGATAGTGCTGCCAAGGATGCATGAGCACATTCAGCAGCAACTCTTGGACCAATAGCAGAGGCAAGAAATGCAACCTACATGACACTTTTCACACCTTAGATTCGCTAACACAACAGCTCAATCAAGTCCAACTTGCTCTCCAAATCCTACCTCTGTGTATAGCCTACCATTTCCCATTTCCAGGTCCTAACTTATAGCTTGCTCTAAAATCAATAGAAGTACGGAAGAAAGATCAGCAAATTGTAATAACCTACCAATGCCATGACTGGGTTGTCGGAATTTGCAAAAGGGAGCCGGCATTCTGCATTATCTAGTGTACAGGATCCTTCATAGATGAAGTAAAGATAATAAAATATTAGGAATGCCGCATCCTCAGTACAGAAAAATTCTGCCCCGAGCAGATGACCAAAAATGAATCTCACCGTTTGAACTCGAATGAAACCCACTGCAGTCATCCCCATTTGATGCACTAGCAGACTTAGAAATCCTTGAAACTTCAATATTTTCCAAAAGGCCATTCTCCATCGGTAGACGCAGAAAATGCAGGATGCACTGTGCTTTTGACTTGCTGCCTACATGCTCTGCAATTTCATTCCAGTTCTCACTGTAGATCTCCATTGCCTCAAGCAGGAGTAAAGTTTCTTGATCAGTCCAGCTTTCTCCATCTACATCACCATAATCTCTTGTCGAATCCACCTTGGAAAAATCTAAGCTTGAATGACGATTAACATATCTACCATCATGGAAGCAGTCATAGCATAGCAGGATATCAACCTGGTACAGTGGATCAATAGAACATGAGGAAAAAGACAACCAAGTATAAAGATGCTGATAAACACAAAGATTTATTTAGTTTTTGCCAAAACAAACAAAAATACCCAAACAGAGAAAGAAAACCAAAATAAAAGTATCCAACTTACATCTTTTCGAGACTGATAGTACACAGTGAGAAGGGAATGACCACAGTAATTGCAACAACTTTCAGACAATCGCTCTCGAATTCTGTTATCCAAGTCAGTGGGATTATCATCATGACATGACAATGATGAATTAACATCAGCCGCCTTAAGCCTACATTTAGGCTTGTCAAATTTGATTAAACTATCAATAGACTTTAAAGCAGCTGACGGCACATGAACCTCACCACTTGCATCCTCCCTCAAATATGATCCAACATTCCAAGATTCACGACTTGGTGCGGCTGCACAGTAATTGATTATTCCCCAATGATCTAAAAACCTCACAATTCGGGTCAACTCTTCATCACCAATGCCAGGTACCAATCCATGACAATCTGAAACTGTTAGCCGCGTATCAGGAGTCTCCATGTATTTAGCAACAATGTGGTTCCTACAGTCCATATACTTTTCTGGTGTATGATCAGTTGATTTTCCTGAGAAGAAATGAGGAACCACTTGCCTCTCCAGCCGATGGACAGTCGCAGGTGCGAACCAATCTATTCATAGGAGATCCAAAAGAAAATGTGGAAAGATCACAACAAAGATGTGGATATGGCAAACATACAGGTAGATAAACTGGGGAAAAATGGAACAACTGAAGGCCAAATATTTGGAAAAATCCAAGCCATTGTCTACGCAACTTTCATGTACTACCATTCAAGAAAAGCAAGAAAATCTACTATCCACAAAGCCACGTGGAAGCCACACAAGTCAAAAATAGGTTTGCCTGGGTTCACAATAAAACTGCAAAACAAGCAAACTTTGGCTTATCCTTGAAACAACACCGTACGACAGGCGTTTAAAGGCGAATGTGCAGTTCATAGTAAGCAAACTAGCAACCTCTATTAAGAGACATGGCTATATCTAAGCGAAAAGTTTCAACTTAACTGGCAGAGGGCAAACAGTTGATCCAAGAAAAAACACTGAGATACAGGCTCACAGTCTAATATCTATGAATTCCATCTATAACTCTCCAATCCCACTTAGTAACAGGCTATGAACGTCTTTGTTTCAATAGAAAATTAATCTCAGAAATGAGCTAGCACATTTGTACTTACTGAGTAACTAGGGGTAAGTCTGGCTTCCCAAACACCAACATTTTAGTTCAAAACATGGGCGGTTATAAAATTGACAAAAGTAAGGTATTGGTTATCTGACAATGATTTGACTTTTTCAATAAATTCTCAACGGGACCCTCAGGTACACAGTGTTTGCTGCACTGCCAGTAGTACATACCCACCCATAATTCACGTTATTTTTTTATAAACACTGAACATACAAACAAGTGAAACCAGATGCTGAGCACAGGAACACTAACAGTGGTGTAACTTAAACTACGCAAAGCAGATACACCAACAACCAACCTGTCTCTCTCTTCATTCCCATGAGGAACCGTCGTTCAAAACTAGTTCTAAATTAGCAGTTTTGGGAAGCCACATTCTTCACTAATCCCTAGGATCCACAAAAGAAGCTCTGAAATCATTCCTCGGAACAACACTACTTCTCCAGCAAAAGTTGCGGCATTTACCTTTTTGTCAAAGCACAAAACTAAGGCCACTAACATTTAGTAATAAAAGCCACAGGACTCCACTCTTGTGTCACCATATTCTGACAAAACACTGCCAGCTCGAGAAAATACAAACAAAACAACCCACCAGAAATATTCGAGTAATACCTGAATGCATAGGGACCAGGAGAAGCTTATTCCCAAACCGCTTGACAACCCCTTTTCCCTCCATAATCTTGGGAGGCGTTACCACAAACGCGGAATTACCACCGTCACTTCTCTCCTGATCCCCACCACCAACACTCTCTGCAGGGCCAGCAGACAAGGCCGCCATCTGCCCACACGACAAGTTCTCCAAATTAGGGAGCAACCCTCTACCACTGCCACCACTGCTAGCTTCCCCGCGCAAGTTGGCCCGCTCGGCAGCCACAATCGCGAGAACGGAAGCATGAGGGCGATTCACGGCGCGCCTAACGACGGGAGGGAAGTCGCAAACCCGGACCCCTCCGTCAGCAAGCACCTCGACCGGATCGGGGAAGGAGCGAGGAACAGGAGGGTTGACGGCGCTAGGGTCCTCGGAACCCTCACGGTCGAGGTGGTTGTCATCGTCGAGTGGGGTAGCGGCGTCGTAGTCCTCGTCGGAGTCGTCGTGCTTGGGTTTACGGGGAATCTGGGGTTCGCGCTTCCGCCTCTTCCATTTGCCTCTGCCATCTGCGGGAGTTCGGGTTGGGGAGAGAGTCAAAAATAAGAGAAATTACAGCAAATTGAAGCAACAATATTGGGGGGAAGAGAGTGAAGAGAGAGAGAGAGAAGGGGATTACCAGAGGAAGGGAAAGAAGGGGAAGCCGGCATTTGGGAGAAATGCGGAACGAATTGCGGGGCTGGTGTTTGTGGGGGTCGTTGATTGGTTGAAATTGAGGGGTTTCAATTCAAATTCTTGATTGAGCGCAGACGAAGACCAGCTAAGAAGGCAGTTGCAGGCGGGGAAGATTATTCGCCTTGCTTCTCTCTCTGTTAAATCTCATAGCCTATCTCTCCCCCTCCCTCTCTCTCGCCTGACTGTCTGAGATTTGGGGAAGTTTCGTTTGCGTTTGGGTTCTATCATTATGCTCTTCTCACAGAACTCGCAGAGTCTCTCAGTTTCTAGGATACGGCGTCGTTGGGAGTCACCTAGAAATAGAGGGCAATTTTAATTTTTTTTATTTGTCCGTAGATATCCTTGTGGAGAGACCATTTAAGAGCAAAGGAAAATCACAACATTTATAGTGTTCCCTCACCAAAACATAGATACATACAAGATAGGTTAAAACATGCATAAAAGTAATCAGATCAGGAACGCGGCGGATGCAGAACACAAAAGAGTACTAGGCCACGTTTTATTAGAAAATTAGAACTATAAAAAAATTAATGATTATAGTTTTTTTACAATGTAAATTGTATACGATGGTATCTTAATTTAGCAACATCTCAAGTTTTTGTATTTGGTAATCTTTAATTTGGTAATCTTTAATTTGGTGAATTTGAGGTTGAGAGACGACTAATACTAGTGTGAAATAGTGATGTAATGATCTATGTATAATTAAATGACACTATTTATGGTTGAGGGTCGCGTAGTAGTGAATGAGAGAGTCTAGTTTTTTTTTTTTTGCATACAGGGAGGCACAAAGCCAAAGAAGGGAGAAAAAGGGGTTACAGATCAGGAGAAGAAGGAGGGGGACTGTAAGTCTAGCAAAGGTAGTGCCTCTGGCATCGTCCTGAAGAAGCTGTAGCAGATCGGCCGAATGCGTCTCTAACTCGTGTGTACTGTAGGGATAGACGAGACTGTGCTTCGAGAGCCAGTCCGCGACTCTATTCCCTTCACGGTATACATGAACTAGATTCACAATCCACTCTTGAGCAAACTGACGCCTGATAGTCGTTAACAGGGCTGCATAGGGTGTAAAGGGTCGGACCTGTCTTTCACCAGTTGAATTGCAAGCTGAGAGTCGGTTTCCACGATGAGGGTTCTGCAACCGTATTTCCATGCCAACTTGAGACCATGAAAAATGGCCCAAAGCTCCGAACAAATGGATGTACAGGAACCCAAGCCGGCAACGAACCCACCGATCCATTTACCATCCGCACCTCTCAAGACTCCCCCTGCACCTGTTGTCCCTTGATTAGCACTCGCCGCCCCGTCCACATTAAGTTTACTCCAGTCAGCCGGAGGAGGCTTCCACCCGATCTGAGCCGAAATGCGACTCTGGGAGGGATTCCCCCGCCCCATCAGAGGACTCGGCGCATTCCACGCCTTCCACCACAGCTCGGCCCGGATCTTCACTGCCTGCAAAAGGGAAGGGGCGGACAGGGTCTTGTTAACCCCCTGGAAAACCCCCTCATTACGGTTCTTCCACATGCTCCAGAGTGCAATACCAAAGAACACATTCCAAGGAAGGCCTGAAGGGGAAGTATCCTCGCAGCTGATGTTAACTTCCAACCAGCTGTTCCAGGGACGGCTGAAGAATCCCTGAAGCTTACCCGGCTGGATAGAACGGCTCCAGAGATACGCTGCCGGTGGACAGTCTCTGAAAAGGTGCAGCGAAGTCTCCGTAAGCGCAGAGCTTCTAAAGCAGGAGGAGTCTTGAGTCAGGTGCCGCTTAGCTCTTTCCTCGTTCGAGCTAATCTTCCCCTGCGCCACCAACCAAACGAAGCAACGAACCCTCTCTGGCACTGGGAGGCGCCAGATCTTCTTCCAGACCTGCTGGTTACTGTCGTCGGTAGGGTCCTGCAGTAACTGATAGGCACTCTTGGTAGAAAATCTTCCATTGGGCGTCGGCTGCCACAGAAGAGTGTCTTCTTCCGTCGAGAAAGGGTCGACCACCCGCGCCGTAATTTTCCTGGCTATGTCCATGGGGAGAATGTGATCGAACTTCTCCGTCCTCCAATTCCCGTCTTCGTCCACAAAATCTTTCACCAGCAGCTCTCTATCTTCCTCCGGTACTTGGCCAACCGCCAGCTCCTGGAGGGGTACCTGCGTTAGCCAAATATCAGACCAGAATTTAGTGCGGTTACCACTATGAATATTCCAAGCACAACCCTTTCTAAGAAGACTTCCAGCCTTCACAAGGCTAGACCAGGTAAAGGAACTTCCCTGAACAGGCCTCAGAAGGTTGAGGTGCGTTTGATCTTTCCCGTACTTCGATCGAACCAGCTGAGTCCAGAGAGTCTCTTTCTCTTTGATGGTTCGCCAACCTCCTTTAGCCAGCATAGCCATGTTCACCTCTCTTGTCGACCTAATCCCCAGACCTCCATTCCTTTTTGGAGCCAACAGACGTTCCCAGGGCACCAGGTGGAGCTTCTTCTTCTCGTCTGTGTCTCCCCAGATGAAGCTCCTATTAATCCGATCCAGGGACCTGCAAACATTCATTGGGAGCATTTTTTTTTTTGCATAGGATAAATCGGTATAGAGGCCAAGATAGATTTAACCACTGTGATCCGGGCGGCGAGAGAGAGCTGCTTGGTCTTCCAGGGAGCTAGTTTTCGTTGGATCCGCAGCATCAGATCTTGATATCTGGTTCTCGTGACCCGGCCATGAATCGCCATAACCCCCAGATAACGCCCGAGGTCAATCGTGAGAGGGATGCCTGCCCTGTGCGACAGCCTTCTTGCTTTCCGCCTGTCGATGTTGGCCGAGACAAAGATTGCTGACTTCTCATAGTTCACCCTCTGTCCGGAGCTATGGCAAAACTCATCCAGGCATCTCTTGATTATCCGCACCTGTGTCCCATCTGCTTCTGCAAAAAGAACGAGGTCATCTGCAAAAAAAAGATGAGAAATCGCAGGTCCCCCCTTGAGAGCCTCAAAGGTCTCCAGGTCTTATCATGAATAGCTTGATCGATCCTGTGAGAGAGTCTTTCCATGCACAACACAAACAGATAAGGAGAAAGAAGGTCTCCCTGCCGGACTCCCCTGGTGGGAGTGATCGGATCAGAGAGTTCGCCATTCCACAGCAGCCGCATCTTATTACTCTCCACACAGAACATAATGCAGTTGATCCACGAACTAGGCAGCCCCACTTCCTTCAAGGTGTCCCTGAGAAAATCCCATCTCAGCCTATCATAGGCTTTCTCGAGATCAATCTTGAGCACAATGCCTCCTTTCTTGCCTTTCTTCTTTCTAAGAGAGTGAAGGACTTCCTATAACACAATGATGTTGTCAGTAGTCTGTCTACCAGGGATGAAACTACTCTGTCGTGGTGAAACAATCTTCCTCATGATCGGCTTCAGGCGATTGGTGATGGCCTTCGTGATGGTTTTCAGGCAGACGTTGTTAAGAGAGATCGGTCGGAGCTGGGAAACCCTCTCTGGGTGCTCTACTTTGGGTATGAGCACCACCGTCGACTCTACCACCTTCTCCGGCAGGATACCTGTAGAGAAAAAGCTAACAGCCATATCAATAAGTGCTTTCCCAACGATATCCCAAGATCTCTGGTAGAAAACAGCCTGAAAGCCATCCGGTCCCGGGGCCTGGAAGGGCTTCATGTCATGCACCGCTCTATGAATGTCCTCTCCAGTGAAGGGTCGGAGCAAGAGAATGAGGTCCTCCTGCTCAATCCTCGGGAAAGCATGGTTGGGCATCTCGTCCGAGTACTCCTGGCTATCCTGCAAGTACAGAAAAGAGAAGAAGTCAAAGACCAAGCTCGCAAGCTCATGAGGATCCGATATCCACTCTCCATTGCTGTCCTTGAGACTCTCGATCTTGTTCCTCCGTCGGCGGATATTGGCTAGCTGATGAAAATAGGTCGTGTTGCGCTCTCCAAATTGGACCCATTTCTCTCTGGCTCGCTGAAACCAGAGAATCTCTTCTTGCTCCAGGACCTTGTCAAGCTCTTTCTCCAATTTAGCCTGAAGTTTGAAGAGCCCGGGCGAGAAAACATGAGCCACCTTAGCTTGGATTCCTTGAATACGGCTCATTAATCTTCTCTTTCTGCGATAGATACTGCCAAAAGTTGTCTGGTTCCATTGAGTCAGCTTGCTAGCCATGTCCTGGAGTGCTTCCTGCAGAGGGGCCTGAGAATCCCAACTATTGGACAAGAAAGTAGCATAAGACTCATGAGTTAGCCAAGCCCCTTCAAATTTAAAAGGACGAGAAAGAGAGGAGGAGTGAACTCCCTGATTTCCAAGAGACGTCAGGATCGGATGGTGGTCCGAGTGGAGCCGAGGGAGATGGATGACTGTAGAACCGGGGAAAGCTGAATTCCAGGCTGCATTGCAGAGGCTCCGATCAATTCTACTTGCCTTGTATGAGTTGGGCGTGTCTCCTCTAGTCCAGGTAAAACGAGGACCGGAAAAGCCCAAGTCAATGAGCTCCGCCTTACTGATCCTGTCACTGAACCGCTTGCATCATCGATAGATGGCAGGAGTAGCCGGTCCAGCCTGCTCCGATGGGTCTTTGATAGCGTTGAAATCCCCGGTTAGAAGCCAGGGCAGCTCAATCTCCTTGCTGGCTCGAAGGATGGAGTCCCACAGAAAATGTTGTAAACTTTGTCTAGGACTCGCATAGACGGTCGTTAAGCACCAGGGTTGCGCAGCTGCCAACGAGATTCTCACGGAGAGATGTTGAAATCAAGCCGACAAGACATCCACCTTGAAAACCTGAGCATTCCAGCAAAGCCAGATCCCCCCTTTCCTCCCTTCGGCTTCAACACGTAACACATTTGGAAACCCCATTTTCCCACAGACCCGATTCGCCACCTCTCCGCTGATTTGTGGCTCCAACAGAATCAAGAAATCCGACTTATGGTGATGGACAATCAATTTCAGGGCCCGGGAGAAAGCCGAGTTCCCCGCACCTCCTACATTCCACGATAAAACGGAAGCATAAGAATTGGAAATGGTCGACATAATAGGTGAAAAAAGGAAAACAAGAAGAGAAGAAAGAGAGAAAGAAATCCGCAGGGCAAGAATCTCAATTATGTTGAGTCTGCAGACTCCAGCGGAAGGCTCGACGTTTCCCTCCGCTCCATTGTTGGGGCTTGAAACGGAAGAGACTCTGTTGCGTTCGCCTTCGCCGCTCCCGTCCAGGCTTCTATCTCTTGAAGGGTGAGTGATGCCAACCGGGTTCTAGCTTTGCTCTTTTTATCCTTGACCGGAGTCCAAACTTGCAGGGCTTTGGCGGAGATTGGCACCGGCGTCTTCCGAGGCGATTTCGTCTTCCTCTTCTTGGAACTCTTCTGGTTTTTGGTCCGAATCGCCGTCGACGGGGTATCAGCCCCTCGCTCCCCTGTATGTTGGTTCTCGTAAGGTGTAATATTAACAATCTCAATGGAGGTGTTATTTGGGCCATTGACTGTAAGAATCGGCGGTGGGCCGGAAGAGGAAGGGCCAGCTCCACTCTGAGAATCTGTTCTTTCCTTGTTGGGACTAGGCCCATTTTTTATATCTAATAATGCTGCTCCCCTCTCCCGCCTACTCCCTTGATCCGGACCAGCCTTATTAGGCCCTGAGAACAAAATTTTTGGGCTAGCAGGGATTGGGCCCAAAACCCCCCTACCGCATGTTGCCACCTCCACAGTGGGCTTTCCAAATTTTTCTTTTCCTTTTGGATGCGTCCCAACAGAGGCTTTCCCTTTTTCCAGCTTCCCTTGTTTTGGATTTTCCACCCGATGGACCTGGGATTCCCTATTACCCCCCTTATTTCCAGAGACACTTTCCAAATTTTTGGGAATAGACTTTCCTTTCTCAACTTTTGCACCGTTCACGAGATCTCCATGATTGACGTCTATGTTTCCTTTCTCGTTAGCCCGATTTTCCCGCCGTGACCTTCGTGTGACCTGCATCCATGGTCCAAAGCCGGCCTTGTCTTCCGGCGACGCCTCCGAGCTCTTTTCCGGCGAGTTGGCTATGGCACCGACCGTGATCGATAGCATCGCCTCCTGCAAAGACGGGCAGGTCGCTGCTGTGTGCCCAACTTTTCCACACTCGAAGCACACCTTCGGCAGGTTTTCATATTCTATGTACTGCCACTTTCCATCCAAGCGAATACGAGATACCAGAGGCTTGGACAAGTCGAGTTCTACTGCCATCCGGGCAAATTTAACGCGCTGTTGATGTTGTGTGTGAAAATCCAGTTTGATGGCCCTCCCAATCATGTTCCCCAGCGAGAACAGAATCTCTTGATGGTAAAAATGAACTGGGAAGGCTGGAAACTGAACCCAGACCACCATTGTTTTCGGCAATTCGTCGGACAATCGAAACTCCGGTGTCCATTGGAAGACTATACAATAGTGATCGAAAATGGTCCAGGGTCCCTCTGTTAAGGCTCGGAAATAGTCTGCATCATTGTCAAGCTTCACCAGGAAGCACTCTGGTCCCAGTGCCATGATGTCCATCGACCCCGATGGCCGCCACATAGCTTTGATTTTATTGCTGAAGGTAAAGAAAGGGATGGTCAAGCCCATGGTACGCACCACAAGGGTACGCTTCCATTGGGTACACAGCTTTTCTCTGAAGACACTAGAAACTTTCAGCTCCGGCTCTCCGTTGAAAGTCCCTGGTATCAAATCATGTACTCCCACCGGAGTCCAGGAGCTTTTCGATTTGTTGGTATCCAGGGCCTGTCCTGATACGATCCTCGCATAGGAAACATGCGACACAGCAACAGGGGGACTTGTGGTAGCTCCTTGTCGCGGCGGCGGCGGTGGATCTACCATCATGGATGTCTCGTCCGGTCGAGTGTTTGGGGAAGCAGCCTCAGCCCCAACTCCTCCCTCCCGACTGGGGAGAGGTTCATCCGGCGGCCTTCCCGACGGGTTGAGATCAGTCGCCGGCAACTCCGATGACATACGAAAGAATAGAGAGAAACGCTTTTTTTTTCCTCAGATCTAAAGAGTAGTTGAAAGTTCTACTGAGAAATCGTAATGAGAGAGTCTAGTTGAGAGGATAAAATACACACTAGCTTATATTTCGGTATTGATCGGTATTTTGGTATATTACTGATCACAATCTCGTAATCCCTAATACCGAATAACAATTGAAACTCAATCCCAATCCCAATCCCTTGAAATAATACGCGTATTCGGTAATACCAAATATAAACAAATTCGGTACGATATTCTGTATATCCCAAATACCGGTACCAAATTTCCCGGGATATTCCGATCCTTCGACCACAACAAGGACGACAACCTAACGCAGATTGAGATGACCTCCTTGATCCGGTCGCTCGGTTTGAATCCGAGCTCAGAAGATCTTAAGGAGCAGATCTAGAAGGCCTATACAAACAACAATGGTCTGGTCGAGTTCACAGAGTTCTTGGCGATGGTGGCGCCAAAGATCCAGACGGTTGAAGGAGATGAATGCATCTGGGCGAGTTCGATCTCCCCGTCTCTCGTCTTTTCTTCTATCTCCCGACGACGATTTTGGATTGCAGGAGATGGTGGGTCTTAGATTTGGATTAGGGTTGGTTTTCTTTAGGGATGGGTTGTCACGGAGAGTGGGCTGTGAGCTTGTGTGGGAGCCGGAGGGAGATCGGGCTTACTTGGGTTGTGCATTTATTATTTCGGTTTATCAGTTCGGTTGTCCGGAATTCGTTTCGGTAGTGTAGACCCTGGTTTTCGAAGTATTGGGCTTTGACTTTCCGAATTACGAATAGAATAAAAATAGTTTTGTTCTATTTTGTTCAGTTTCGGTCTGGTTTGATTCGAGTTCACCGAATCGGATGCCCACTCCTAATATATATGGTCTACAGTCCAGACCGATAGACTGGAGTATAAACCACAAACTATACGGTCCAGACTAGACCACGCATGTGCGGTCTGGTCCAGATAGACCACACTCAATGTAAAATGACCAATTTGTTTAGTCAACCACACAAAAAATTGAACTAATAGCCAAGAAAAAATTGTTTTTTTTTTGTCTTAAAACATAAATTCTAACATGCATGAATAATTTTGACACCCTAAATTTTTGTACATAACAAAGATACAAGTCAAAGCATCCCAACTTGCACCATAACGTAATAAACATTAACATAATGTCATATGGGGATACGATTGTCTCTACTCTCCGGTAAAATGTGGTTGTAAATAAAGGAGGGGACGAGATTTTCAAAATTAAAGTTGAGACTTGGGCCTCATTGTGGGAGTTGGGAGAGTGGTCGAGTGGGCTGCTAACACGTATTGACAAGTCGGCTGGGACCACAGTTTTGTCCGGCAAACCGCGGTCTAGACCAGTCCAGATCAAGAGATCAAAACATCATTTTTTTGGGTAGAAAAGCAGTCGCTCAAGGCGGCCTGACTCGTATTAATAACTGAACGTTGTTGGAAAACTCCCTTAATATCATACAAAAGCCAATGTTTGAGGTTCTTGTCGCTCACATCGAACAGATGTGTGTCAAAAGAGAACCTATGCCCTCTACTAGCTAAGAAGTCAGCAACAACATTTTTCTCTCTATAAATATGGGAAACATGAACTTCCCAATCCAAATTCAAAAGGGACCTAATCTAATCAGCAACAAGCCCATGTCTGTGCTCGCTGTCCTCGTTGTTTTGGATGATCAAGATCACCGTGGCAGAGTCCAAATTGAGCTCCACTTTCTTGAATCCTCGCTGCCACGCAAGGTTCAGCCCCTCAGCAGCACCTTTCAGCTCTGCTCTAGTAATAGAGCAGGTGCCCAAGTTACAAACAAAGGCATCACAGCATCTTCCAAGGTGATCCCGAAGCAACCCTCCAACCGCAGCCTCACCTGTTGAAAGGATCGAGCCATCAGTCTGCACTTGTATCTAACCTTCTCTAGGGGGGCTCCAGCTGATCTCTCGTTCCTCTCTTGGGTGTTTCCTTGCAGGAGAAATGTTAAGAACATTCATAGTAGCCTGCCTGTAAATATTGAACCAGGCCAGGATTCTTTGGATCAAGCCCATCTCCGAGTAGGCTGTGCCAACCATCGCCTCCTCGTTCCTTTTTTCCACATTTGCCAACACAAAATGCCAAAATCAACGCCATTGTCCTCGTCTCTAAGGTTCTCGGCAAGCCAGGATTTGAACGGCTTCTCACTGTCAGTGCATGTAATTTTGCTTCCAAAGTATCTTCTGGCTCCCTCGCTCTTGCTGCAGTATCTGAGTATATGTTCCGTTGTTTCTGGGATCTCTTTGCAGTGGGGGCAGGAGTTGTTGTTGGTGAGATTTCTCTTCGATCTTTCCACGTTGGTCAACAGGCGACCGTGGGATGCAAGCCACAAGAAGTGTTTTATCCTGTTTGGCCCTCTCCACTTCCACAGGTTCTTCCAGTGAGGTAGATGTTCTTCGTTCAGTTCATCAGCCACCAAGTTATAAGCTGACTTTAGTCAGAATCTTCCATCTTGCTCCAAGCTCCAAAATGTCCGATCCTCGCCAAGCTCAGCCTTAGGTGTTTCCATTCCTGCAATCAAAGCAAGGGTATCATTCCGAATGAGATCTTTCAATCTGTTCCAATCCCACTCACCTGACTCAGTCACCCAAGATGAAAACGCCGAGCAATGATCTTCCTCGGAGATTGTAGTGGTGAGGTAGTCCCCCAGCACAATGTTGCTATCAAGCCATGGCTGGGTCCAGAATCCAGTCGTTTTTCCGTCTCTAATACTCCAGCAAGTTGCACTCTTCATCAGTGGGAAGGCTTTCACAATACCTCTCCATAGACTAGAATGGTTACTGGATTTCATAGACACAATGGCACCATCCTTGTGCTTAAAGTACTTCCCTTGAAGAACCTGCACCCACAACTCAGAATCACGATTGAAGATATGCCATGCCAATTTCACCATATATGCCATATTCAAGTTCCTAGCAGATCTAAGTCCAAGACCCCCCTAATTCTTGGGTTTACAGATTGTATCCCAAGAAACAAGGTGGACTTTCCTTTCCCCCGCTTGAGAGCCCCACACAAACCACCTGATCTTTCTGTCAATCTCATCACACACAGAGACAGGAAGGACCGAGGTCTGCATGGCATAAGTGGGAATGGCATTCAAAACAAAAGTAGCAAGTGTAACCCTCCCTGCCAAGGAAAGGGTACGTGCTTTCCAAGCAGTGAGCCTTTTGTCCATCTTTTCAAGAATGTACTTGTAGGTGCCTCTATTGACTCTACCATGAAGAACAGGCACCCCCAAATACTTACCAAGGTCCTGAGTTTGCAAAATACCAAGGCGATTGCAAAAATCAGACTTGTTATGATTTTTCACATTTTTTTAGAAGAAACTATGCGGTTCGGTTCGGATCACAATTTTTCTAAGTATCTGGCCTATTTTCTCAGCCCTAGAGGTAGCCTATGATTCATATTGGTATGCCCGTCTAAGATTTCGTAGCTTCGTCAACAATGATGCGCATGCCTTATTCTAGGTTGCACGAGTTGTAAATTAGCCCAATGTGATAGTAATTTGCGAAGCACGGTTAAAGTGTATTGCGCATGAAGCAGGAAAACAACATTATTGCAACCCTTCCAATGTCGTCAGTATAGGAGGACCTAATTGGTGATGGTTTCCAGATCTACACTATTACACAAAGATTGTTCATGGAGTCCAAGTATCCCATTGGTAACGGTAGTCTAATAAGCTGACGAAGGGAAACGATGATGGAAAAAGAAAGTGTTCGAGCAAATCACCCTCTTATGAATCACAGATCGAGCAAGTAGATGACACTTGAACTCCATGAACTTGAAGATCATCACGCAACAGAAAGATGCATAGGCAAATCCATCGCAAAAGAATCATAGCTTGGGTGTCATAGATAAATCCCAAAATTTTAGGCCAAAGGTTTGACTAGTGAGAGGAGCAGATAGATGTGTAGATGAGGAGATGGAAGGACAACTCAGAATTCACTATTTAATAACTTGAAGCAACCGTTAATTAATCAAGCTAATTCTCATTCAAATAACTAAGGTTATCTCTCAGGTGTTAGTTATCTCTGTGAATACTCAATGCGTACAAATTAGCCAATCACTTGTTTACTCTCGAACAATCAACTAATTAACTACCTAGTCTGAATTACAATAACTCCTATATTTACGCATTATAATAAATTCATGACAATAAATTTTTTAAACTGTAATGAAGATATGTCAGTTACAATTATTGAAGTTGTGTTAGAGGTCTCGTGTGTGATTATGCCGATAAAACATGGGTCTCTCACAAAATTTTCAGATAGACACATCTCTCTAAGAGATGGGTACACCCCTAGTAATGGTAGCTTTAATA